AAAAAAATGTACTAATTTACTTGTAAACTGTGTATTGTAATTTTCTTGAAGTTACGAATAGAAGTTAGAGATAAAAATTCAGTTCGCCTTTAATAATTCCATAATTCCATCATGCACGGAAATGATACTCACCTAAGCGTTACGCAATTAAGTTAGAAAGAGCCGTTTGAAATATTAATGTCTTGCTATATTTGAAATTCAACGAAAAATATACAATGTACGTTCAAAAACAAAACAAAACAAAACAAAAAAGCTCTCGTGATTGTCAGGTATCAAGAACATAGTGATTCACACAAACTTTTTTAAAAATCCCTTATTCCACGTTGAATTACGAAATTCCGTTGGTTGGGCCCATTAATGAGGTATTATTCATGGTCAAAATTCACCATGTATTTTAAGGAATGATAATGAGGTATCCTTTTACAGGCATCGTTGTTAATGAACGTCATCTACATGAGAAATATGTGTGTGTGTATGTGAGTGTGTGTGTGTGTGTGCGTGTGCGTGTGTGTGTGTGTGTGTGTGTGTATGTATGTGTGTGTGTGTGTGTATGTGTGTGTGTTGTGTGTGTGTGTTGTGTGTGTGTGTGTATGTGTGTGTGTGTGTGTGTATGTGTGTGTGTTGTGTGTGTGTTCTCTGTGTGCATTTGTGTGCGCACGCGCGTGTGTGTAATTAATCTCTCTCTCTCTCTCTCTCTCTCTCTCTCTCTCTCTCTCTCTCTCTCTCTCTCTCTCTCTCTCTCTGTTACTCACTCACTCTCTTTATCTATCCATTTGTCTATCCTCTGCTCGCGCCAATGTGATGAAAAATATTGATTCTCCAAGTGAATTAAATTCCATGAATATTGCATTAGGTTCGCCTGAAAGTAGATAATATCTTTAAGGAGTTGAAACATAAGTAAATTTGCGCGAGCGTGCGCACATGTGTATGTACGTGTCCAAAGTGTGTGTACGTCTATCAGTCAATATTTCCTTTCTCGTACATAGTTATCCTGTCTGGTCTGTCAGTCTCGTTGTCTCTCTCTCTCTCTCTCTCTCTCTCTCTCTCTCTCTCTCTCCCTCTCTCTCTCTCTCTCTCTCTCTCTCTCTCTCTCTCTCTCTCTCTCTCTCTCTCTCTCTCTCTCTCTCTCTCTCTCTCTCTCTCTCTCTCTCTCTCTTTCCCTCTTTCATCTCCTTTTGAAATCAGGCTATCCCCGATATCCTGAAAGGAGAAAGAAGTAGAAAGCATACAGCATTAAAAGCGACAAAATATATGTGTGGGGAAAACGAAAACATGCCTGTAACAAGCAGGTATGTTCTGAATCTATTTTTAATATCTGTTTTTAAGTAAATAGGAATAAATGTATATATACAAAAACACGCACATATATGAAATATGTATTCAGCTCTGTATTTATCTATCTACCTACCTTTCTATCTATCTATCTATCTATCTATCTATCTATCTATCTATCTATCTATCTATCTATCTATCTATCTATAGATAGATAGATAGATAGATAGATAGATAGATAGATGGATAGACAGATAGATAGATAGATAGATAGATTGACAGGTAGAGATAGATAGATTTGTAGATGGTTATAGATAGATAGATAGATAGATAGATAGATAAATAGATAGACAGAGAGAGAGTGAGAGAGTGAGAGATAGATAGATAGATAGATAGATAGAGAGAGAGAGAGAGAGAGAGAGAGAGAGAGAGAGAGAGAGAGAGAGAGAGAGAGAGACAGACAGACAGACAGACAGACAGACAGACAGACAGACAAACAGGCAGACAGACAGACCGATAGACAGACAATCAGACAGGCAGACAGATAGACAGATAGATAGATAGATAGATAGACTGATTGAATTATTGATCAATATACACATACATATATATATATCAATATTGACATGCAGTCTTATACAAGTCATAATTTTGTCCGTTTGAAATCCACGACTGACGGGAAGATCTAGTTTTATCTATTACCACTAACGATGTTATTATTTTAGCTAGTAATGAAAAGATGGAGCTCACAGAATAAAATCATGATGATCACTCTTTGCATGTTTTCATTTATTTATTTATTTGTAATAAAAGCTTATCTGAATTGACTTCAAACACTATCTATTAACTGACACTTAGAACAGCTGTAGGTAGCGGGCACACGAAGATCGTTTGGACTCCTCTGTATTCCTCTGTGGTCTATGGCCTTTGGCAGATATAGCATAGACTGGTTCCTCTCTTGACCCTCTTTAATATATGTGTTGGGGAAGGTCTGGTCTTCCACGTAGCCCCACAGGTCATCAAATTTACCCTTTCTATGTACTTTGATATATTTTTTTTAAGTTTAGATATCTAAATCACGTTGTTTTATGATGTTTTTGCCTTCGGGGAACTGTTAATTGGTTCTGCCCAGTATTTCCCAGTTCCCTGATCTAAGTATCCTAATGCCTACAGTAATTGTGGCATTAAAACCCGTGATCAGCATCCATTCTCAGGCGATGGGCACAGA